GCGGGCAGACTCACACAAACACAAAAGGAGAAACAGCATTGTCATAACGCATGAGAGGAGCTGAAGAGTTCTGATAGAGCCTTGTCATGCACTTCAACCTTGGAAGTGCAACTAGTCACACCGACATACACACATACAAACACACACGCACATACATATGTGCACATATATAAACGCACTCACGCACACACAACACAAACCACACTGTAATAGACAAGAACACATTATTTATTTTAGACTCTCACTATAAGTACACTGAATCATTCAAAACTTTAAGGTGCACTGAATTGTTCAAAACTTTGATTTGCTTCGGAAGAAAGAAAACATTTTTAGACACTTTTCATTTAAGCAAAAACAGGGAAACAGATGAACAGTGTGTTCTCTACTTTAATGAAAATGTAAATCATTTTTAGGCACTAAACTACATAAAAATACATCTTAATGACACATATGTAATCTTAAAATTAGAGATAATTTAAAATAGAGAGACAATGTAGGACAAGATAATTAAACAGTGTGTCTGACACCACATAACAATGGATCACAATCACAACCTAAAGTAAAAGCATAGACCATAGTTTCTCTAGGGAAAGAAGCTATCATTATGTTGCTGAGTTGCTATGTACGGACAGTCTGTATTATAAATGGTAAACTTCACCACCAACTGATTAGAATAATAATATAAATACTGAAAATAAGTGAAAAAATCAGAATTGATTAGAGCACCCATCAATCACCTGCAGTTATCAGTACATCTTCAGTCAAAGCTATCATGACCAAAAAGAAAAAGAGACGTTAATTGGTTGTTTGTCTTAGGGGCGACAAGTTATCAACACCTGTGCTATGAAAAGACAAAAGATTTAGCTTCATTATAGAAAAAACAGATGAAACAAAAGTTAGCACCTCTTGATTTGACCCATTCAATCTTTTTGCAACATAACAAAGTTGCAAATTACACTTGTTCCTTAAGCTTTGCTTCACTATCCTTTACAGCCTCATAAATGCAACTGACAAGGATTAGGTGACCATCGCAGCTTGGTTACAAGTGGGCTTTGTGTTTGTGTAAGACTATCTGGCTAGGCAGGATAAAAAAATTTATCTCAACATACAGACAGGGAGTGCAAGTATCTGCCAGGGGAAGATCAAAATAAAGTCAAATGCTGACAAAACGGTTTTGCCCACATCACAAAAACATTAATCGTTCATTTTTTCCCAGTGCACAGTAACTTTTCACCTATTCACCCATACGTCAAAACAACCAAAGAGATATCAGGTATCATTTACTAGTCAGTTACGTTAGTAAAACAGATTCCCGCATTGCGAAGCATGGGGGAAAAGATGGGACAAAGAAAAGGACAGTTGTGCTAACTCAGGAGTGACTAGACTAGCCCACAGTCTAAGCGGTGGGTGCCCCTCACCTTTTCAGACCTGCTCTCGTTGGCCGACATCATGTCTTTCAGCGTCTGGAGCACTTTGATGCAGAGCTTCTCTTCCTTCTCTTCCAGCAGACACTCTGTGTGCCGGATCAGCCTGTGGAGGACACGTACGCATACATTCAGTGACATGACCTCATACATGACTGCCAAACACACACACACACACACACAATAACACACACACACACACACACATGCGCGCGCATGCGAACACACACACACACATGCACACACACACACACACACAAACTCACATGCATGTGCACACACATTCACATACACGCACACACACATTATGAGGAAGAGAGAGGACATGACAAAGGAGTAGGCCCTACTCATATGGGACAGATAAGAGTATTAGGTTGTTTGTTTTTGTTTTTGTAAAGTGTTTTACGGCGCTCGCAACTGCATAGGTCATATGAGCACACACATATGAGCGCGGGACACACCTAATATTTTCAGTTGGTAGGAAATTTTGAATTTTGCCCGGGTGGCGGCCGAAGCCTACTCTTATCGATTTTAGACCACCAAGGGATCTTTAACGTGCGCAACTTGCACACGGGCCCTCCGAGATTTTTCGCCCTAGTATTAGGTTGTAAAGTAAACAAACACACATACAAAGAAATATTGACATAAACATACATGTACTTTGAGAGAATCATTACATTGAGTACTTGGTTTTGTGTCTTTGGGCTAAAGAGGATAAGCAAGATTAATGTCCAATCTCAGAAATAGAGAATCTTGAAAAGTGCAGTCACCTGGCTATGAATCCACCACTCTCACACTTCTCCCTGGCCTCGGTGGAGGGTGGGAACAACAGTTCCGGCCGGTGCAGAACGTCCACTAGCACAGACATTTCGGCCAGCACCAAGGGCTTCAGGTGGTTGTTCAGGGTGGCCACAATCTCCTGCGGAACACAAACAACGAGACATGTCAGCACAAACACAACTAGATGGGAGCTCAAGAAGGAGACAGAACTTATTACTGATGTTTTTCGAGTAAAAAGAAGAACATACAATAAAATTAATAATTCAGTGCTAGGAGAAAGCAAGGCCGACAGACAGAAAAACGACAGAGGAAAAGTAATAGGACATATCTCCAACAAGTTAACTGTTGGCTGATGGTAACAATGCAAATAGAATAAAATCATACACCATTGGTGTGAAGATTATACAACCAACACTCATACCTAAAACGATAAGTGTCAATTGCTATATCGCTGAACTGTTCCTAAAATCAAGTTACTGTTTATAGCAAATCCTTGTTTGTTTGAGTAAAGAGAAGCACATTGACACGATAATTGTCATTAAGTGCTGGGTAAAGCAAGAGAGACAGACAGAAACAACAGATGGAAAGAAAAGAAAAAGAAAAAAGAAGAAAAAGAAAAAATATCCACACAGTTAAGACAAAACATTTTTTCCAGAAATCAGATCATGACTATGATAACCATGAAAAATTATGAATTAATAAATTACACAAGAATGTCCACTGATTATCCCCCACGATAAATGTTACAACAGTGACAAAACACTATAGCTCAATGGCAAACCCTCGTGTAAGACACGACATAACAGTTCAAGTATACATGGCTGGGTGCATCAATTACAATAAATTTGAAAACACATTCAAAAACAAGAAAACACGATAGCCGAAGTCTCTAAAAGTAAATTTCATTCTACTTCATCACAGCAACAAACAGAATAAAACCCTCCATACTTTCATTCCCATGTTTCAAGAATCGCACGTTTGAAAGTACCTAATCACTTTGACGAGGTCATCACCAGTTGATAATCATTGCAAAGCATGTAAAGAATATCATCAGAACTCTGTCCCAACACCTATGTATAGTTTTCAATCAAATATTTAAGGTGTACACCTAATCATGTTTGTCTTTGACTGGCTCACAAAACTGCTTTTAAAATTCCAGTCCTTTCAGGATTCTGGCAAAAATTCAAAGAGTCAAAAGAGCAGCTTGTTTCAGTAATACTGCTGTTTTATAAATAAACACACTTTGGCCATGACATGAGATCTCAAAACATTTGATCAAAAATGTAAGGAAAACAACTCTTTAAAAATGTTATGAAATATTTTTCTCTAGAGAATCTTCCGCCATGACTTAAAAAATGTTGACATAGGTATTAAATTATAGCCCTATATGTGGCATAAGCTACAAATAAGTGTTATCAAATAAGAGTTATAATATGTAGTAGTAAACTGGCTTGGTTCTATAGACACTCACCACACTAACAGATGAGTCATCAGAGAAAATTACATGTAATAGTTCATCAAAGATAGTAGAGTGAATAATTTATGACAAAAACAAAAATCAATGCTATACCTTAATTAACACTGTGAAAAGTATATCCACTTTCACATGTGTCAGTACAAGTAAATATTTTTTTTAAAGCACTGAAGTAGTCAGCTACATGAATAATGAATTTAAGGGAGCAGTATTCCTAAAGTTCAAAATTCATAGTACAGAAAGTATGCAGCAAGGAATTCTGAAGAACCTCCCACCCGTCACTACCCCCACCACACACACAACAGAGCTAGGAGAGACAGCTGCATCATAGACCAGCAAACAATGGTGGCCAAATGAACAGCACCAGCCAGCAGCAGAAGTTATGGATTCACAATTTATGGCAATCCAGTGAGTCGACAGCCACATTTTGCCAGAACACTACTAGTACAAAAGAAAAATTGGAAAAGATGTGAAAGGGGCACACCATGCCAGAGCACCAATCAATCACCATTTAAAGAAAATACAATTATATGACTAAAAATTATTTTAACATTTTGTTGGAAATTGGCGACACTGACTATTAATACTCCATTACAGTTTATGAAGACACATAGAGAAATAATATGGGGTCATACGGTACACGTTTTTTGCCGGATTCCATAAATTTCAGTATACTGGCACTAGATACCAATCAGTTGATTAAAGTACAATTGAGGTAACCAGCGCTGAGATTCACTGATATACTACTTCTCTGACAGTTTAGGCTTTGCACCTGGCCGATTCATCTCTGAATTTTTAGTTTTACTTTTAGTACGAGTTTTACGGCACTTGCAACACAATATGGACACATAAGTGTCAAAGATTAAAGTTGTTAAAAGAGAGTAACAAACACAAAGGAGAAGAACGAGAGATAAAGACGATAGACGTTTGGTAGGAAAAAAGGAGCAAACCTCACCAGAGCACTGACCAACCACTCACTATCTCAGAGTTTACTGTCTTGGTAGGTGAAACACAAAACACACACACACTTACTTATCTTATGCTTGTGTGCATGTGTATGCATACATGTGTGTGTATGAAGTGTGTCTAAGTTGCACAACAGATGGATACATATATTCACAATACAGACACACATGCACCCATACATACATACAAGACAAACACGCACAGTTATTTATGGATATTAATAATACTTATATGGGCATTATGTCAGTACCTCACATCAAATTGGCTGTACCAACCTCCACCATGATGAGAAGTGATCATACGCCAAAACACTTTTAAAAATATTCTACTAGCTACAGTTATATTAGCCAAGTTTTATCTGTTATGCTTGAGTAAGACTTGTAAAGAAGAAATATAATATGAATACAAAGCTAGCTGACTAACATAAGAAAACGAAAATGTAACAGCATAATAAAAATGAAATCTTAAAAATCTAGCGAATAACTTAAAGAACATTTGTTTTCAGAGGAAGTACTCCATCAATCCAAACTGGAAATAAATCTATTATTTCAAAAAGCTGTCTGGAGCAAAGAAAACCAGCCAGAACAATGTGATGATTCTACAGTTAGAGAGCTCTTGTACTTGTCAGAGGAAGGCCAAAATCAAACTAAAAATATTCTGATAATTAAATTGAAAAGATCACATAATGAGCTGTATCTCTACCTACCAACAAGTCTATGATCTATAAACCACTACACTCACAGGCTCCTATTCTTCTGTAAATTTATTAGACTTCACTGTGAACACATCTGGACCTAAAGGTACAACTACTATTTATGCATGGCTGCTCTGTGACTTACCAGTATTGACTAACTAGTGTTTTTGATGTAAGGGTGAGACTTTTCACCGAGCATGCAAAGATGTGAATTCAATTCCCGTGAAATAATGGTATTTTATAAAGTATATCTTTTTGAATGGACGTAGTACCCCATATAATTGTAGGTTGGCCCTGACAGACACAGTTGAAAAAGCCCAAGTCGTAAATAATCCAACTTGTTGTGAAATGTACATTTACCACCAATGCCCCTAACTTCACCCATGTTTTCTTTTAATCCATTTGACCAAATATCCATATACACTTTGATGCTCAAAGTCATTTTTTGATACCAGAAGAAAGCACTCTGAGGAAAACCCCATTGCTCAATTGACTGACTCTTTCCCAAATGAAAATGACAAATACGTGGAAAACTACAATCAAAAATTAGTTTCCTCTTTCATTTTTGTTCATATTTCCATTTCAACTGAATTAAAACAAGGAAAGCAAATAAGTAAGCAAATATAAAAAGACACTTTTTCAATAATTTATCTAAATAACTCTCACAGTACATGCTTTGACACTACAGGTTTTCTTTACAAATAATACAAGTTGAGCAATGAGCAAAGAATCAAGACATCATAGGGACGGGTACTTATCAGTGGTGGAAGGGCTGTACAACACAATAGTCCCTGCTCGTGTGTGATGTGTGTTAGTGTGGGTGTATGTGTGTGAGTGTGGAAAGTGCACTTTAGATTTTTAGCAAAATATTCCTTTTCCCAGAGCAGCCATGCCCACAATTCAACTTTATTTTCCCCTTCTTTCACTCTCTCTCTCTCTAAAAGAGTGTTCCACCTCAAAGAGCATTGGTTCCCGTAGGATAAATCCGACTGTGTTCTTCCAGGAGACACCACACTGCTGCTGGGGCTGCAGAAACGGTCACAGAGTCAAGCACGGTTGGTCAACTGGTTTTAGTTTAGTTTTAGTGCAAGTTTTAAGGCTTGCAACAAAATAAGGTCGTATAAGAGCCAAAGAGTAGAGGTGTTACAAGAGAGTAACAAACACAAAAAAAGGAGGAAAGATACGGATGACAGATCTTTGATTGGAAAGAAGGAGCAAACCGGACTAGAGTATCCAACAACCACCCACTAAACTGGTTTTAGCTCAGATGTAAGGGTGAGCACAGACAGAATATATTGATCACAGGTGACAAGAATAGCAAAACCAGGTGAGGCTTTTGATTCTGTACATATAGAGAAACATCTCTTCAAAAAAGAAATTTTGAAGGGTCACACTGAGACCAAGGCTGAGGGTATTATCCACATTCAAAAACTGAACTGAGGCTAAGGTATAAGCAAAAACCAATCGTACATGATGACAGGCCAACATCGGTTGGCTTTAAAGACAATTTATTACTTACTCTACTTACAATATACATACATGTACTTTCCCAAATGGTTAGACAGAAAGAACAGTGCTGAAATCAGAACTTTTGGAATGTTGAAAATTTTCAAGAAATAAATAACAAAGTTAGAGCATACCACTATCAACATGCTGCTTTTGACCCAGTCTTTGGTTTGAGGAAAGTGAAGGACACACAGGAAGAAAGCAAAATAAACAGAAAGAACAGAGGGAAGTAAAGAAGTAAGACTTAGTAGAGAAACCTCTAAATACACCTATGTAACAGGGTAAAAGTCACAAGTCATACAAAGCAACAACAGAAAACATATATCCCGATAGTTTAGTTTTAGTAAGAGTTTTACGGTACTTGCAACATAATAAGGTCATAAAAGTGCTGAAGATTAGAGGCGTTACAAGAGAGTAACAAACATAAAAAAGAAGGAGAAGAGATCAGGACGACAGATGTTCGATAGGAAAGAAGAAACAAACCACACCAGAGCACCCGCCAACCACCCAATATGTCCTGATAGAAATGTTTCTTTCATTGTAGTTTTGTTATAAAGGTCAATGCTGTTGGGAAAATCCACAATATGTTCAGGGAAGCTGCAGGAAAGTGAAAGCAAGTACAAGCAAAGATTATAAATATCAATAAAATTGGGTGCAAAGTAAGAAAAGCTCATTTTACAAAAGAAAGGACAAGCATCTGTGGGTTTTTCCATGACATGATATACATCATAAGTCAAATGTGAATACAATATTCTCCTCTAGCTGTAGGGAAACTCAGAACAACCCCCCCCCCCCCCCCCCCCTGCAGTTTCTGCATATTCATGGGGGTGGACATGAAGATAACATGCAATGAAGTGGTTACCTGGAAGTGATGTTTTAGTTTTAGTAAGAGTTTTATGGCACTTAAAACACAATGAGGTCATATAAGTACCGAAGATTAGAGGTGTTACAAGAGAGTAACAAACATAAAAAAGAAGAAGGGGAGATAAGGACGATAGATGTATGATAGGAAAGAAAGAGCAAACCACACCAAAGCACAACCTGGAAGTGATATACAAGTTTTTCTAAATAGTTTTTAAAAAACATGCATCTTCATAATGCAAGCTGAGAGAGTCATCACTTTAGAATACCATGGTCTTTGACGTAAGAACCATCGTTGAGTACAACTGCACATGCGAGGGGAAAAAGGAGCAAGGAGAGCTTAACAGCTGATCCTCATAAAAAGAAAAAAAAACTGACCTGCAAGCCCTCGATGATGTTGCGGTAATCTCTGGAAGCATGCGCTTGAGACTCCCTTCTGTTCTGCCTCACATTGAGCCAGCGTGCTGTTGACTTCTGCACAATGTTTGACCTCTCAAACAGAGCATTCACTTGACTATCCAGATCCACAGGGATGGCAATACTTCGGCTCTTAGCTGAAAACGAAACAAATATTTTTTCAAACATAAAGGATTTCAGTCGTTATTCCAAATTTCATTTCAGTTCACTACTTAAAAAAACAACACAATCCAGGAGAAAAACAAATGTTAAGGGTCATCTTGTTCTTCATTTATTGAGAACCCCTTGTCATACCTTTATTAAAAATGTTCTGTTTTGTCAAACTCTTAACTAAATAGTTTGGACCATGGCATTGAACAATGAAAGCGGAAGAGCTTGAGCTTCAAAGTATATAGTGTGGTATACATTTCCCTGCAGTCTGCAAACTGTTCTTTCAATCTATTAGTCAGCTGTAAGGTATGCAAACCTGCATGAAAGACTAGTACTTTACAAACTGTTAAAAGGCACAAGTTCTTTATAAACGAACGGAAAAAGAAGGTGGAATAAAGAGGTACTAAGTGGAGAAAACTCATGAAAGAAAGTAAAACTAGTAATGAAAGTAAAGGATGGGGAGGAAGAGGGGACAAAAGATATGTAAGTATGAGCATAAATATCCTTAAGACTGACTAAAATGGGCTGGGGGGTGGGGAGTGGGGGGGGGGGCACAAGATACTTAAGTCATAAATATCCCCAAGACACTAACCTGTGTCGGATAGAGTGCGGATGCAAGCCTCCACGTGGAACCTCTGTGAGCCATCCAGCCACTCGCAGCGGATCAGGCGGAATGCTCCTTGTAGAAGACGCACAAACACAGGCTGGTTTGTCTGTGGGCAACAACATGGCACAGGTTAGAGAAGATAATTTAGTTCTATGAAAAGTCAGACGGACAGACAGAACAATACAGAGAGAGTAAAGAAGAAGGACCTACAAGTAATGCCCTCCTACCGCCGGTGTCTTTCTTGGGGTAGACAAGGGAGACACTTGTGGGAGCAATCAACACTGATTACAATACCTGGGATGGTATCAATACTTGAGAAATTATGAAACCCATAAAAAAAATACATGAATGATTTTTTAAAATGTCAGGTTGAAAGTGTACAAAAAGTGGAGAATAATGACAAATTAAGTTTTAGTTCGACTGTCTAAAGTGAAAAGAAAATTAATGTGAAAAGCAATGTCATACAGCAAAAGACAGGTGCACAAGAGTTGCAATTGTGATGACTGCATTTTTTCCCAGTGAGTGAGGAAGACTGCATTGCTCTGTGTGTGCGAGTGTGAGTGTGTGTGTGTGTGTGTGTGTGTGTGTGTTGTGTGTGTGTGTGTGTGTGTGTGTGTGTGTCTGTGTGTGCGGGTGTGTGTGTGGGCGCGTAAATG